GGCTCTACTCTCCAGAGGAAGTGGAAAATAAATCCTTGCTCTCCTCAGTTTACAAGTTAGTTTTTAAACATTCGAATAGCAAAGGCATGAGTTCTTGGATTGCATTCCATGGGTTCTATTCAAATCAGATGCAACAAATGTGTCACACCCACAACATTCTCCATACAAGTTTAATTTATTGCACACTTTTTTCTTCTATTTGTGCTTCAATAGCATACCAACCAATGCAAGTCCACTGTTTGTTATTTGAATTTGTTATTTGCATTTATTTGTGCTCATACAGTGAGATATAGTCATTTTTCTGCAATGGGTGATCAAATATGGTTTTAATACAGGCATGTGAAAAGCAGTGAGCTTCCTTGAAAATAATATATTGTATTTTGCTAGAAGATGGATACAGGAACAAATAAATTGAGCTATGAACTTAAAAATTGTGAGGAATCAAAAGTTTTCTCACACCAGGGTTGGGACCCGTAGATTAACGAACAACAACAAGATTTCATTTATAGAGCGCCTTTCACGTCGGGTGGACGTCCCAAGGCGCTGGACAGTTGGGTCAGGACCCGAGCAGGGGGGAAATGGTCAGGGTGAGGGGAGGGAAGGGAGGGAGCGAGGAGGGGGTAGAGAGTCGAGAGGGGAGCTGAAGGCTCGGTCAAAGAGAAAGGTCTTGAGACCGGCCTTGAAGGAGGAAAGGGAGGAGGCAAGGCGAAGGCACTAGGGGATAGAGTTCCAGAGCCTCGGGGCTGAGAGGCTGAAGGCCCGACCACCGATGGTAGGGTGGTTGGGGTGGGGGACGTGGAGGAGACCGGAGCCAGAGGAACGGAGGGTACGGGCAGGTAAGTAGTGGGATAGTAGGTCGGAGAGGTAGGAGGGAGCAAGACAGTGAATGGCCTTGTAGGTGAGGATGAGGATCTTGAATTCGATCCTCTGGGGTATGGGAAGCCAGTGGAGGCGAGCGAGGGTGGGAGTGATGTGGTCGCGAAGCCTGGTGCGGGACAGTACATGAGCTGCAGAGTTCTGAATGACCTGCAGAAACTAGTGCAATGTGTGGACATGCTAACAATTTTCTCATATTACTTAGTACTGTAAAATCTGCATTTTAAAAAAACCTCAAACTAATTACAAGGGAGCAATAGAAAGCAGAAGGCAATGATAAATGGAAAAGTTCCATCTAGGTAGTGGCAAAGGTCTTTTCTAGTTATTTTGCTGTTCACAGTATCCATAGATGACTTTGAAGGAAACATTATTTGTAGCATTTCAATATTTGTTCACATTTACTACAGGCTACAGGATAATGATAATTTGCACTGAAGATCTTAACAAATTAAGTAAATGTGCTAAGGAATGGCAAATGGACTTTAGTGACAAACATAAATGCAAGGGACACTTACGAGTTGTTACAGAAAAAATATTTTAATAATATAATATTTTCATTGGTTGGTGAATCAGTGACTAGAGGTTATCAATTTAGGATAATTAGCAATGGAACAAATGGGGAGTTTAGAGATATTTTTAGGCAGTTATTATGAATGCCCTCCTGAATACAGTGGTCGAAGCAGAATTAATTTAGCTTTTGAAAGAAAACTGAACATCCAAAAAGGGAGTAACTCATAAGGGTATGGGGAAATGGCAGATAAATGGGACTGGTTGGATTGCTCTTTTAAAAAGCCAGCAGACACAATGTGCCAAATTGCCTTCTTCTGCATTACAACAACAACAACAACAAGATTCCATTTATAAAGCGCCTTTCACGTCAGGAGGACGTTCCAAGGCGCTGCACAGTTGGGTCATGACCCGAGCAGGGGGGAAATGGTCAGGGTGAGGGGAGGGAGCAAGGAGGGGGGAAATGGTCAGGGTGAGGGGAGGGAAGGGAGGGAGCGAGGAGGGGAAGAGAGTCGAGAGGGGAGCTGAAGGCACCGTCAAAGAGAAAGGTTTTGAGACCGGCCTTGAAGGAGGAAAGGGAGGAAGCAAGGCGAAGGCACTGGGGGATGGAGTTCCAGAGCCTGGGGGCTGAGAGGCTGAAGGCCCGGCCACCGATGGTAGGGCGGTTGGGGCGGGGGACGTGGAGCAGACCAGAGCCAGAGGAACGGAGGGTACGGGCAGGTAGGTAGGGGGATAGTAGGTTGGAGAGGTAGGAGGGAGCAAGGCCGTGAATGGCCTTGTAGGTGAGGATGAGGATCTTGAAATCAATCCTCTGGGGGATGGGGAGCCAGTGGAGGCGAGCGAGGGTGGGAGTGATGTGGTTCCGAAGCCTGGTGCGGGACAGTACACGAGCTGCAGAGTTCTGAATGACCTGCAGCTTGTGGAGGGAGGTACGGGAAGGCCGGCGAGGAGAGAGTTCCCATAGTCCAGCCTTGAGGTGACAAAGGCGTGGACCAGGGTTTCAGCAGCGTGAGGGGTGAGGTAGTGCCGTAGTCTGGCGATGTTCCGGAGGTGATGGAAGGCGGTGCCAGTTGTGGTGCGGATGTGAGGGAGAAAGGACAGCTCAGGGTCGAACAAAACGCCGAGGTTCCTGACTGGCTTTGAGAGGTGGAGAGTGTAGCCTTGGATGCTGATGGTATCAGCGCCTGAGGTGCGGAGGCGCTGACGTGAGCCAATCAGGAGGGCCTCGGTTTTTCGCACGTTGAGCTGAAGAAAGTTGTCTCTCGTCCAGGACTCGATGTCGGACAGGCAGCTGTCAGGACATCGGTGGTCGTGGAGTTGAGAGTAGAGGAGGAAAGGTAGAGTTGGGTGTCATCCGCATACATGTGGAAGTTAACTCCATGTCTGCGGATGATGTCACCGAGGGGGAGCATATAGAGGGTGAAGAGGAGGGGACCGAGGACAGAGCCCTGAGGGACACCACATGAGACAGTACGGGGGGTGGAGGAGAAGCCATTCGTCGAGACAAAGTGAAGACGGTGAGAAAGGTACGACCTAAACCATTCAAGGACAGTGCCTTACGAGTTTCTTTGATTCTATTTAGCAATAGGAAATTAGGAATATTTGTACCTAGTGAAAAGATTTGATGCTATTATTGATCACTTAATGAAAACTTCTGGTCAATGCAAATCTTTTATCAATAACGATAATTAAATAATAGATAGCATCCTAACAACATCTGATAATATATCAAAACAACTTATTCTACCCTTTGAATAGTTAACTGATAACTGATAAGTCATATTTCAGATTTACTGACCCTACCTTCCAAAAGATTGAAGTGTTGAAGAGGAGTTCAGAGAAGGCAATAGGGATGCTTTAGATAAGTTCTCAAGACTGGAAGCCGAAACCCAAATGGATCGGTCAGTTCTTGCTTTATAATGCCATGACTCTTAAAAACCAGGATGATTCTGGGACTTAAAACAAAGTTCATTGGAGTGTCAGCAGACTATAGGGTTCAAGTCTCAATGTGGGGCTTAAACCTACAAATCTTCTGACTCAGAGGTGAAAGCACGACCAACTAAGCCAGGCTGACATATAGATGTGTAGACATCAACTACACATTTTGATATGAAGTGTGTAATATGATAAGTATAACTTGAATTCTTACTAACATTGCATTCACTTTCTTAGATTTTGAAGCAAAAATGGTCATAGAACTGATGCAATTCACTGACAGATCAATGACAAATGACATTATTCCTTTTGCTGGCCTACCTCAGGTAGCTATGAGAGAGAAAAATCAATAACACATCACATAAATTTCTCAAAACTATCTGATCTAAAGACAATCTTTGTAATATCATTTTTCAAACACTAAACTGTAGGGCACTGTAATTGTCTATGCCTATATGAATACAGATGGTGACATATTTTTTCTATTTAAAATACCTCAAATTGTATAACTAGTTTTAGTTAGGTAAACACAGTGTATTGCATTTCATGGATATATTTTTTCTTGCATAGTTCATTGATATATTCAGTCATTCAACATTAAAAATATGATACAATTACTACTCTTATGATCTATATTGGGTGGGTATTAATTATTTTTTCAAATAAAGAAATAATTGGATAAATGGTAAGATTTGTGCATTAAGCTCAATGTGGGATGTTATGCATTCATAACATCCAGGCTTGACTATGCAAACTTGTCGGCCTCCCCAACTCCTCCCTCAATAGGCTGCAGATCATCCAGAACTCTGCAGTCTGAGTCCTCTCTAGCACCAGGCTCCTCAACCCTATCACCCCCATCCTCGCCCGACTCCACTGGCTTTCCATCACGCAGAGGATACAGTTCAAGATCCTGGTTCTCACCTTCAAAGCCCTCTTTAGCCTCTGCGATCTACCATCCTACCAACTCCCTCCACTCAGCGGCCTCCGGCCTGCTTCACGGCCTGCTTCACGCCCCCCGCCTTGCCTGCCCCACCATTGGAGCCATTTCAGCCACTCTGCCCCCATCTTCTGGAACTCCATCCCGCAGTCCCGCCGCCTCATCCCTTCCCTTGCCTCCTTCAAGACCAGTCTCAAGACTCTCCTCTTCGACTGTGCCTTCGATCATCATCCTTCCCCCCTACCGTCCACCCTCCCCAATCCCAACCACCAGCTCGGGTTCCGAAACACTGATTGTCTAGTGTCTTGGGACTTCCTCCCGACGTGAAAGTCACTATACAAATATAATTTTGTTGTTGTTGCATTTGTTTGAACATAGGAAGCCTAAAAAATACAAATGTGATTTTATTGCTGTTGTTGTAAAATAGGTCAATATTTGATACCACTAGTACATATAAATCCCAAACCTACACGTTGCCAGCCTCAACATATAATATTCAACATAACTGACCTTCAAACAATTTCCTTTTGCATCCTTACAGGCTCCAAACAAATTAGCAATTACATGTTATCATGTAAAACGTTAAAAAATAGTCATCGTTTATTCTATGCTCAAGCAACGCAATTTGATGGTTGCAACAATAAAGCTTAGATGATGATCTTAAACTATCTTGAAAAGAGTGTGTTTAACAGTCCTTATGCAAACAAGGTATGAAATTTGCATTTCTGATCAATAGAATACTCACCACAACCCCAAACTGCTCCGGCTCTGACAAGCTATGATACACATTTTTGAAACGTGCCAAAGTATGCATTTGCTCCTGTTCTGGCAGATGTTTTACCAAGTTCTGTTGACATATCAAAAAGCCGAATGAGACACTTTTATATACATGTCTATATACTTCATCTAACATTTTGTACTGGTTTCCACAAAATCTCTCAGGTGTATAGGAGGAAAGGTATATGGCATTGGAAGACCTTCGAAGGGAACAGAGAGAGAAAAAATAATGAAAGTAAAAATATTGCTAACACTTATCATGTTTGGAAATAATGCAAGAGATAAGCATGTTTGACCAATTTTAGCTGGAGAATTTCAGTGTAAACTATGAGTTCAAAGTCTCAAATTTCGGCTTGATCCACAATCTTCTGACTTGAAAGCAAGAGTGCTACCAACTGAGCCAGTCTGACACTTCTGTAGACTGTCAATTATTTAGATTCAGGTTTTAAGTTTAACAACAGCAATTTACAATTATATAGCACTCTTCATTTGAGGCAGCATCTCAAAGTGCTTCAAGCCCTATCCTTATAAAATCATAGTCCAGGCTGAAACTCCAACACAGTGCTGACAGAACATTGCATTCATTATCAGAGGAGCCATCCTTCAGATGAGATGTTAATCTGAGGCCTTATGTGCCTCTTGTGGTGGACATTAAAAATTGCAGAGCACTATTCCAAAACAGAAGGGAGTTTCTCCTGGCCAGCAAATCTAGATAAAATTTTGCAATTTAAGTGCCAGGTTTGCCTACAAATACAGTTTGATTCATTGTGTCTTTAATTGCGAAATTATCGCAACTTTGGCAACAAAAGTGATATTTCTGGAACTCGAGTCATTTGACGTTATGGGTACTATATTTAAATACATTTCAATACCCGTTATTTTCATTCAAAGCATTGCCACGATGCTGGGCACAATCATTGCAAAAGTATTGTTTAAACAATTATGGGAAAATGATGTGACCTTAAACTGTGAACATGAACTGATACCACTATTTATGAGAACATTTCATATTAATGCAGTATAGCTTTGTCAGAGATTATATTCAAAATGTTACGAGTTTCTATCAAATATTCATACATTAATCAATACACATAATGGTATAAATGAATATTTAATTTTCTGTGTTTTTCCAATAAGTGTATTTTTAAATCACCTTATTTTGAGTCTTTGATAGTAGTGTGTGCAAGATTCTGACACATCAATAAAGGCTGATTTGATCATTGTATTTTTAATTGAGAAATTTTAACAACTTTGGCAACAAAAGTGATATTAATACACAGGAAAACCCCACTATAACATGGCTGTTGGGATCCAGAAGATTTCAACCCACATTATTACCATGAGTACAAAACTGCCAAGGCCTGTCAACACTTCTGTGGTTTATAACTCATATGAGCAACATCACTGGGGCAAGCTGTGCAAATTGTCTGGCTGCCCTCCCAATGTCAACCTAACCTATTCACACTATTCTCTTAATGTGATTTTACTAGCCTCACTATTCACAACCTAACTTACTTTTACTATTCTTGTGATATACTACGGTAGTGCATCATGATAATAACACGAGTAGGTAAGGTCATGCACTGTGAGTCCTGCAAAATCCCATTATGGTAGATTAGGCTGTGTATTTGTGCAATGGACAACCTAGCCTACTCACTCTATTCTCGCAATAATGGGAATTTTATGCTTTGACATCATAAAATCATAGAATTATACAGTACACAAGGAGCCCATTGTGTCAATGCTCGCTCTTTGAAAAGAGCTATTCAAATCAATCCCACTACCCCGCTCTTGCCCTATAGCCTTGCAAACTTGCCTTCCACAAATAATTATCGACTTCTCTCTTAATAGAATCATAGAATTATACAGCATAAAAGGAGGCAATTCGACATCAAAAAAATATTGAATTCAATTATTACCAAACTTTATGGCAATGACATTACAACAGGATATACTAGTAATCAGAATGATTCTACTTACTTATGAACAAAAATTTATTGAATCCTAGGACTGTTGTCTACTAACGTAATGCAAGTTGACCTTACTGCAAATTATTTTTTGTGAATAGAGTCAATACACATTCAATCAAGAATACGGGCAATAGAGCTAATCTCAACTTCAAATATGGCTTTTGTTTGAAATGTATATTGATTTTTCTGTTGAACCCTAAGTTATAGAAAGGAATTTTTGCGTAAATGAGCTTCCATAGAAGGATTTAAATATTGATAAGTGAAGCCCTCAGAGAAAAGTAAAGGTGAACCCAAGACTAACCAAATAAGAGAGAAAAAAATACCTGGATCATAGACTCAGTCAGTTGTTTTTCATCCACTTCCAAAATAATTATTTTGATCTCTTCATAAGGCATTCGAAATGATCCTAGAAAAATAGCTGTAAGAAACATGTACAGAAATAACAATATTTGAGGACTTCTTTTTTTCCACATTAAGTCAGTGTTTAAATTAAAAAGTTACTAAATGTCAAATTCTGGAAATGAATCTTTCACTTACAGAGGTTCTGTGCTATCTTAGGCTCTAGGACTTTCAGTTCCTTAACTTTCTTCTTAATTGTTTTTTTCTCCTCACTCTCTTCATCGTCTTTTTTGCCTGTGAGATACAAGTTAATTTCTGCATTTCAAAACATTAGTTCCACCAACTGTCTGTGTGTAATGTATATCACCGCATCTATCAACATATTTATTTCCTAAATAATAAACAGGTAGATTTTTGAAAGCAAAGACATTTATAACTGGAGCAGAGGGACATGTAGGAATATGGAGGAATACTTTTTACAGCAAAATATGCTGTGGTTTGGAAGAATAAATCAATCCATATTAATTGCAAATAATTTAACCTTATGGCACTACAAAGACCACAAGCAAAGTCTGAGGAAGCTGGCCCAAACAAGCAAGACAGAATTCTAAATAAAAAGTCGGGCTACTACTTGATCAACACAAACTCTGAGAAGCAACAATGATTTTTAGTTAAATCAAGTTATACTTATTTTTTTTACATAAAAAATATATTCAGAGTAAATGATATTGGTCAGATTAAAAACATATTTATCAAAAATGTGCTAACACGATAGACATTCTTTCAAATGGTTTACTGACAATAATAACTAATAGACACATCATAGGCTTGTATGGATAAATATTTATTTTGAATCTATATAGATGTTAGTGCGGATATTATCTCCCCATTGATAGAATGCTTAATGTTTCAGTTAACATTTACTAATCTACATCTGTTGATTTTATTAACTTGAAAGCAGCTAACCTTGGAGCACAACAGTCCATTTTTTTTGTGAGTGAGTTTTATAAAATGACCTAAAACACAAATTTACAGTAATTGTTCTTGGATATATACCAGTTTGACTGAAAAATGGGGATAAGGGCCCTTGAGAAGAAAATCTAAAATAAATGAATAACAACCAACAAATTGCATTAGTATATCATCTTTCATGTTGGGAATTAAAAGTATAATTCGTAGATATTTGAAAACCATTTCAGAGGACATAAGCTTACGTTGATTCTTTATTGTTGAAATTGACAATTCTTTTCTTGGGTTCACGAATCTAAAAGTACCACTTTGCACAATACAGACTTTATAATAATAATTCTTGCATTTGATATAGCGCTTTTCACGTCTTCTAGACGTCTCAAAGCGCTTCACAGAATATACTGTAAAGTGAATTGACTGTATATTTGCGGGCGAAACCCAATTTTCAAAAAAAAAAATTTTTTTAAAAAAAAATTTAAATCCAAGGATCCAAGTAAGATTTCAGTTAGAACAATCTCGGATCCATAAACGATTTCCAAATAAAATAGTATTGCAGTTTCCGCCAAATGATGCAGCTCACTGGCCAGAATAAGATTTACTTTGGAAGGAATAAAAGGCATAGTGCAGTATTCTGAAATATAACTACAAATTTCAGTTGCCATTAAAATGTTAGTCTAATCAATGGTCCGTACAGATTCTCCTCCAAATTAGTGTGTGAAGAGAAGTCTTACAAGAGCTCATTATTCCTTTCACTATTAAATAATTATCTTTTTAAAAAATCAAATCCTAATGATTGAAATGGATTCTGCTCTTCATCTTTCTCTTTCCATGCCTGTAAACTACCTGTATGTAAAGTGGGCAGAGCACCTAAGCCCACCTGCTATGTGCCTGCAATATAAATATTTTTTGGAATAATCCGGTAGGAAACATTCACTAGGAATGGTAAAGGATAACCTTGACTCTGCAACCTTACTCAATGAGTTGCCAGTTTTTTNCTCTCTGCTGGGACTGCCTACTGTTTGTCTGCCTACACCAGCAAAAGTAGGTCTTATACAGCAGCATCTGTCTACATAAGCCACTTCATAAATGATAAATCTTATGGCAATATTTTTGGGGAGATCAACAATAACTGGTTCAAAGTAAAGAAAGTGTTTGCCAAATTTCCATTTAGAAAAGAAGTTAAAAGAACATTGGCATGAATAAAATTAATTAGTAAAATAAAGTTTCTTTCGTAAATCTGTCTTTTTTAAAGCCAATTTTTCCCTCTTCTGGCTCCCTTTCTCTTCTTCTGGAGCACAGTTCAATTTGTACCAGAAGCACGAGGATACCTTGGCTAAAAGGCCATTTTTCATATGGGAGTCTAGAGAATGAGTATTGACAGTTTACTGATCCGTGGAGAGAATATTAAAGCCAAGCCCCATTCTAATTTCAACTAACTTTTAAGTATGCACAATTTCCAGCAGTAGATACTCTATCGTGATAAGGACAGGTAGCCAGGAATCAGTTAAAAAAAAGTTGCATACACATTTAGAATAACTAAAGGTCAGATTTTGATTCAGAATTATATAAAAGGCTAAATTAGTTTATTTGCATTTATAAGGCAGTTTAACAAATAAACATGGTATAAGCAGCTGCATGGATTTCAAGGGGCCAAATTCTAACAAAAGATATTTACTTAACAAACGTTAGGAATTTCTCCTGGAAAAGAACACCAGAAGGCATCTTAAACTCTATCCTTGCAAAAGACTTACATGGGTCCTCATCAGGAGAGGTTGCTTCAAGTCCTTCAGAATCAGCAGCAAAGGAATCAAAATAGCTAATGTAAGGTTTGGCTTTGATGTACAGTTCCTATAAAGAGGAAAAGCACTTTCCATGCTCCTGGTTTCTTAAACTGCATTTTTATATATTTTTATTTACAATACAACACAAAATTGCATTTGTATAGCACCTTTCACATCGGGAGTACATTCCAAGGTGCTGGAATCAAGGTTTCGGACCCGAGCTGGGGGTCGGGATTGGGGAGGGTGAGGGCAGAGGGGAAGGAGGGTGACCAAAGGTACGGTCGAAGAGGGTCTTGAGATGGATCTTGAAGGAAGCAAAGGAGAGGGCGAGACAGAGATTTTCCAACACCTTAGTATTTTTCTTCTTCATAACTCTTAGAAAAAAAGGTAAAACTGCTATTCACATAATTGCTTCCTTTACATTCCTGAATCTTTCACAAAAGATTGCTTCAAGCAAATTCAATGTTGTGAATGATATCCATTAATGGTTTCTCTACCTTATCTGATCTAGATGATGAAATTGACTAACCTTATAGAATAGCATTAAACAGAATGTACGTATATCTTGGAATAAAAACATTACAGTGGATTGCCAACAATTGTCCAGTTATTTTGCCCAAGGCTAAAGATGTCCCCTGTTAGTACTGAGAGCAGTAGGATGTTTCTTAATATAAGACAACCTTGAGAAAAAGGAACTACATCTTGCATGCAGCTACTGTAACCTCATAATTTGTCTCTACAGAATAGAATCAGTTCATTACTTTAATTACAGAAAAGTGAGAAGAACAGACCATTAAAGAACCAACAGCTCACTGCAGGCAATTTACCTGATCAAAGATACAGTGTTGGAGATAAAGGGGATTTAGTATTTTCAGAGGTTCCAATTGCCTGCATACAGGTTTTGTTTAGAGCAGCACAAATAGATGAATGGAAGCATCACTTCGAACTGTACAGTTCATATATTAAATAGATCTGAGAACTAGAAAACCCAGATTATATAATGATTTTAAATAATAAACCAGATGTCCAAATACTGATCAATTTCATCTCTGTAGCTCGAAAAACGCTTGAGAATTCTTTAAAATTTCATTGCTCACAGGCTACACGATAACCCAGGAACATTAAGATCAAGACCTCGGGTTTGGATGGCCCTGGTGGCATCTTAAATTACAGTGATGACTAAAGATGGATTGTCTGTTATGTAAAATAACAGATTTTCTTGAAGGTGGTATATTGCTGGGAAAAAAAGCACAGTACAGAGAATGAAGGATAAGTGTTGAGTGACAAGAGAGTAAAACGTGCGTTGTTTATCAGACTAAGCACAGCTAAATGTCACATAAAATCATTTAATACCTGCAAACAAATGAAAAGAGTTTTGAACATTTTGCAGACATGCGAAATGCAATGTAAGGCGACTGTTTAACAAATTTTCTGCATGCATTTTTAGTATTAGGAACACGCTAATGTTTCTATATACAAACATGCCCATATATTTCAGAATAAAAAAATTAATTTAATTTTAGAATGGAATATAATGTTGTCATATTTAGTAATTTAGACAGTACATGTGCAATATATGTTACTAAGAATATTTAGGTTAACAAATTTATTGTTACCCAACTGATTCAGTTACACAGAACACAAAAAAGTAATATTTCCACATTAGACTACGTTCTTCTGAGGAACATATAAGACTTAATCAGACAACAGGATATTTGATTTTCCTTCGTTAGCCACAGAATGTTAGTAGATTTTAGTGTTTACTGTAGGACCTATAGTAGTTTTTCTCGAGATTAAATATAGAAAGGTTTATATGGCGCTTCTAAACTCAAGTGTTAATTTAATGTTGCTTCTCTAATAATAGAATGTACTACATACAGGTATTACATTTAAACATCAACAAATTACATTTGTATAGCACCTTTCAAGTCGAGAAGACATCCCAAGGAACTGGACCATCAAGGATTTGCACCCAAGCCGGAGTTTGGCATCAGGAGGGTCGGAGGGGTGGGGTTAAATATTTGAAAGTCAAATAAAAACTGATTACATTATACCAGAATAGCATAGGGGGACACAAATAATGGTTCTTTTAATTTTGGTACAAATGCAAACAAAAATTTTATTTTTCTGAATTATGTTCCTTAAGGTTGCATTGGCATTAATGTATCGCACTCAGATTCTGTATACCTGGTACTGCAAAATGGAACTTAATGAGACTGAGTATCACTGAAACGCTTGGAAATATATTTCATGCATGCTTCCATATCAATGCACTAGAATCACAGAGTAGCATGGTTTTAAAAACACAACCCAAACTCGAAGGAAATGTGATCAATCATTATCCTCCTTAACAGATATACCGCAATATTTCAAAGCAGAGCATTGTATAACAAGTAGACATCAGTGTTGGAGAGTGGCCACAATTCTAGGAGGAGCTTCTTGGCTGGCAAAGCTATAAAACTACAATAAAACCAAATAAGTACTGAGGAATTGAAGATAAATGGAACAGGAATAAAAAATGAAGATGTGGGGAAAGACAAATAATTGGTGTGTCAAGGAGCATTTATAGAACCTTTGCTAAGAGGGTTAAATGTTGGTATACATTATGCATGGTGGAATAAGCTTGAAGAACCAAATGGACTTTTCTTATTTAACGCTTTCTGTATTTGCAACGAACATGCTGGCTGTTAATGGAATCAGTCTAATGATATTGCTGTGTACAATTAAATCAATTTTATTGCCTATAACAATTGCACAAAAATTGGAGGTGGCAGTTTACATAATACTATTTGCATTGTCAAATGAAACGTGTTGTTTTGGGACAGGCATTCAGGAATTCAGGCCACGACGTGTTGCGCCTTGGGACGTCCTCCCGACGTGAAAGGCACTCTATAAATGAAATCTTGTTGTTGTTGTTGTTGTAATCCATTGCTGGTCCATTATTCCCAATAGAGGTTTCATTTATATGCTGAACTATTATTGCAACAAATCATTAATATGTAATAATATCATGAGATACAAGGTATGTTTCTGCAAAGTCAGCATCGATCCAAGATGTGAGACATATCGTTCTGTCTACGTGCAGCAACGGAATGAATGCAATTTACATTTGTATGGAGCCTTTCATGTCGGGAGGTCACTAAGGTAGGGTGAGGCGAGACTGTAGAGTTTCAAGGTACCGTAAAACTCACATAAGTCAAAACTGTATGAGTCAGGACAATAACATTTAATATGACTTACTTGGTCCGAGTTGCAGGCAAACTAGAAGTTGTATAAGATCCAATTTAATCAATAATCTACACTGTGCATACCTAATTTAATGTAGTCCTGTAGCTCAGTGGTTAGAGCACTCGCTTTTTGCAAGTGAGAAACCTGAGTTCAATTCCAGGCAGAGGGCGAAACCTTGGGCAAGTTTCCTTACTCCACACAGAACCTAATAATAATCCCTTCAAAACCAAAAACAATAATAAATTGGTCATTTTTCAATCTACGACTGTTTGTGGGACATTGCTGTGCGCAATTGGCTGCCGCGTTCGCCCACAAATATACAGTCAATTCACTTTACAGTGTGTTCTGTGAAGCGCTTTGGGACGTCCTCCCGATGTGAAAAAGCGCTATATCAAATGCAAGGATTATTATTATTATTATAGTCGGTAAATGTGGGAGTAATAGAGGATAGGGAGTGTCATTATGAGTTAGGAGGTGATTAATATCAATTGGATTTTGACAACTAAGATAGATGTACCACTAAGGCGATTATACGATTTATAAAGGTAAGAGTTGTGCGAGTCTACTTTCATATGGTGAGAGCGGTGATTAGCAACATTCAAAGAGCCAAGTCCATTTCAAGATGAGAACAAGGATAGATTGAATTCAATCTGCTGGGATCAGAATCAGCTACAAGAAAGTTAAAAGTTTTCCTGGAACAATGCAGAAATCCTGAAATGGTTTCCCAACCCAAAATGGATAGTTTTTTGAAGTATATGATTGGCTGTTTTTCATACTCATCCTATTCCACTGTTGAATCAACTGATGGTTCAATTTCAATAGAAAGCAGCACCTAACACCTTCCTGCAAGAAGGGATTAAAATAAAGTCTAGCAACAAAAGACTACAACCAATTTTATCAAAACTCATGAATACAACAAATTGACAAGCTATTGCATCAACTGAACCATGGTAATCTGCGATTTGGTTGCCAGTTTGGCTGCAGATTCCAACCATTTAATTTATAATTCTTTTAATCTCACAATACAGTGATCAAGCATAAATTGTGAAAGCAAAATTCACAACTGCAGTCCTTGATATTTTCAAAGCAATTGACACGGGGTATGGTTTCCTGGCCTTCTTCCAAACATAGATTTGTTTCTGGTGATTGCTGATATTGGACTTTTAACAGGTCTCTGGCTGCACCACATCTTCCTCTGACATGGATCCAAAATGCTGTTCTGTCAGATCTCCTCAAAATTGTTAGATTTGCCAAATTCATCACTTCCCCCCTCAATTGCAGACGTCTATAATCCTTTACATGATAAATTCAAAAAAAATTTAAAAATGCAACTTTTTTTCCAAACTTTAATTTGGAAATACAATCGTGCAGTGAATGAATGCTCAACTTTGGAAACCTCAGTGTACAGAAAGTAACATATTTCTGAGTTTTAGGCACCATTTTTTGGCTTTTTACTTTCCAGGATCTTAATGTTAAGCTTAAGTAAATGATTTGTTTTTAACTTTGCTTTTGCATTCTCTAGAATTGGTATTTCTACAGCGGAACTAATAATATTGGGTTTTGTATATTTATACTTTTGACTAAAGCAATAGAGGACAGGCCTTCATTAAATGCAACATATTGCCAAAAGGAAGGTCCAATAAAATGTTGCATGTTTGTCAGTTAGATCCTTTTATGGATAAATGTCACAACTGCACATCTACCTTCACATAACTGTTAATAAGTAAATGCGACCATAATCCCCAAATAGTTCAAGCAATCCAATTTGTTAGCTATGTAATAATTAGTTTTACATGCACAGGCATATTATGACATAGTGTGATTTAATTATATGAAAAATTGTTAAAACTGCTATCTAGAAGATAACATTGGATAAGACAAAAAATTTATCAACTTTTCACTCACTCACTCACAAAATACACCGCACTTTACAGTACAGTACACCCGCACCGATTACTCCAGTTCTTGCCAAACTCCTCTGGCTCCCTGTCACAGAGCAGATCGACTTCGAGATCCTCACCTTAGTGTTTAAATTCCTCATTTGGCACCCCCCTATCTCTCTAACCTCCTCTCTCCCCACAGCTGTACCTGCTGCCTCCGCTTTACTGGGTTTGGCCTCCTCCACGTCCCGAATTCTCCGCTCCACCATCGGCGGCCGTGCTTTCAGCCACTATGCCCCAAAACTTTGGAACTCCCTCCCTCAACCCCTTCACCTCGCCCCCTCCTTCCCTATCCTCAGGTCGTGCCTGAAGACCTTCCTTTTCAACAGCACCCAGAGTCATCTTCCCCCTCCCCCAGGTTCGGTCTTGGGCTCCACCACTTTTAAGCTATCTGAGATGCCACCCAGCGTGGAGGGCACTATATTAATGCAAGTTGTTGTTGTTGTATCCTATAAAGCACTTTGAGACATTTCAATGACGTGATGAGGTGCTATATAAAATGCTGAATGCCTTCATACTTTGTTGTATTTGATTCTATTCATGATTATTTTCAAACTTGCTAAAGAAATCAAATAATTTCATAGAAATGTGGCGGTGGTGACGTCATGACCAGGGAACCTGCAAACTCGATTGAATAGTCATTTGAATAGAGACTCAATGTCTGTTAGAATGTTGCATGGTATTGTTTCGGTCATTTACACCACAGATAGCAGGAACTGTCTCACTGTCTCAAGTGGAAGGAATGTGAAACGGCTTGCATTGTCTCAGTTAAAAGATGTTGTTGCCTGAAGGGGCCCTGATTTACATGAAAACTAACATGTAAGAATGTGTATTTTGTGAGTGTAAGAGTACAAGGGAACAAGGGAATAAGAACACAAGGTGTTTGATCAGGCAGGAGAGTTGCACCTTGGAGGGACTAGTAACAAGAAGTGGGTCAGATCACTCCACTGCTAAAACCATAAGTGCCAGCATTTTATGCATTACGACCATGACTTAATTTAAGGCTTTGGGGTATCGTCAAAATATATGCTTGTGTCCTTTAAATAATTTGAATTTACTTCAAGAAGTGCGTATTTTAAATTTGTTAATATAAACGGGATACTGGTTTTGTCCTCCCAACTCGAAAAGCCTCGACTCTATCACTGAAGCATTGAGAATACAATACCAAGCTACGTGACAGAAGAAAACAGTATAGTCTATTGCAACTGGGCAAAAAACTAAGGTGACATGAGAGGTTTAATTTGGAGTCTAAATTCAAAGAGTTTTTAAGTATCAAATTGAATTGCGCAACTGTAGGGATCTGAATACTGTTGTCAATAATTAACATTCCTTTGTATCTTTTCATTGTACAGAGGAGTCCTGTGAAATAAGTGGATTATTATTTTATAAACTAAAACCCCAAAAAGCAGCACAACTTTTTGTGAAGGGGAAAAACACACAAGAAATGTCTAAGTTTATACCACTTAACAAAAAAAGCCAAATACAGATGAACTGTAATCTTGCAATCCTTGCTTGCCATCCTGATTTGGTTGCATTGTAGTTTTAAGGTTGATATTTTTCATTTGTTGGTAAAAGTTCATTACAAGGCACATTGGCTAGTTGGCGATGATCCCAATATCTACAACATCTTGAATGCCCCAACTCTATGTCACATACCTTATTTTAATTTATTTCACTATGTAATGTGTTACAATATTACATTCATCACAAACTCAAACTTTCAGAAACAACACCTTTACTTCCCCATAACTTTAAAGCAGGACTTTCTAAAGCACATCTTGTAAAAACCATTATTTCTGCTTCTAGCTGATGGCATTAGGAGCGCCCAACTCAAATCAATTTCTGACAGGCAAGTTTTGATGGAAGCATTAAGGTTTCAGAAAGATGTATTGTAATCCTCCATTGTGACTTTTCTATGTATAAAACCAAAGGAAATCGGATGAAATGTGGGCCTATAGCTTTGAGGTAAACCCCTCTGACATTCTGAATCCTTTTAAGATATCAATTCTCATGTTGCACAGGATCTTGTGCCAAGAGTGATGTGATGCTCCATTTCTCACCATGGCTTTAATGCAAAATCCTGAAAAAAATACAGCAACATTCTTGATCTCATACATACCAACTTGCTTAAACTGACCTTTGAGGTTAAAGAATCACAACTGATTCTCAGTGCCGCTAATATTTTCTGAAAAATCCTAATTCTAAGAGTTGTTTTCTGCATGAAGCATATTCAAATTCTACAATCCAAAGAGTCATTTGGTTTCCTTCTCTCTGCAGTATTCTCAAAAGCTTTCATTAAAATTCTAAGCCCTTCAGAGAGATAAAAAAAAGGTGGGAAGGAGAGTAGGCGAAGCAGGAATGAGAGAACAGAACAAAAAGAGTGATAGAGAGTGGTGTGAAGAAAAAAGGAAAACGTAAAGGAAATCATTAATACCACTTTTGCTATTTATTGATTTAACAATTTGCACGTAAAAAGCAAGGTTCATAGAGGAAACACCTTAATTTTTCAGAGCCTGCAGTGAAAAAGAATGATGAATACAATATGCAGTTTTCTTTCACAGTGATGAAAGTCATGCTTTGCACGCATCATTGTGTAGTTGGGGAAAGACAGTTTCATGCATATACAGTCAAATGCAAGCACGGAATACTGCTTACTGGTCTCTACTGCTGCTCAAATGTAACAATTGAAAAGAGGAGGTAGTTTGCTCCTTTCAAGCAATATATTTTAATTACATTTAAAAACAATTCACCAGTTTGTCAAAAACTTCAAAAGCAAACCCTTTTGGTGCAGGGTTGCTCCATCTGTTTTTACATGTAAGATGATCCTAGTCCTCATTGTTTGGTCAAAGACACTTTTTTCCAGCAGCTTTCAGCTTCCCTTTATGCAGCATAAAAGATTTAGTACACAAATCAGATCAAAGAGATGTTTAAATTGATGCTCAAAGTAGGCTTGAGGTGGTACACTGACAAAAATGAGCGCTTTGCTTCTGTGAGTTTGGGTTGAGAGAGAATCATCATCATAATAATAATTTAATAATAAACCTTGCCAGTCTTGATTTACTGCATTTTATGTCAGGAGGCTGTCTCAAAGTGCATCACAGCATTTACTGTAAAGTGTAGGGACTGTGTAATTTGTAAGTCAAAGCAGCAGCCAATTTGTGCACAGCAATCAATGTCTCACAAACAGCCAAGAAATGATTGACAATTCATCTGATGGATTGTTGACCAGGAAAAAATTCCCTTCTCGTTTTGAGTAGTGCCCTGGGTAATAATGATTTCTGAACAAAAGAAATATGCCTTAAGTGCATGTACTCCAATAATACACATCAGAGACAGCAAAAAAAATATATAAGCTGTTGGGAAAACACCAGATTTATACATTATGTATCAAGGAAGCTTTTCAACTTTCATCAAAGTAGAAATGTATTTAAGATTTTGTTCTTAAGCAGGCATTTTCTACTCAACACATTCAATTGGAAAGACATTCCTTTGTATCTTTAAATTGTACAGAGGAGTCCTGTTATAGCGACCTTAAATACAGTGCTGACCAGCCATTTTCCTGCTCTTTAAAAAAAGGCAACTTCCAGGTCATCACTGATACCACCTCCTGCAATGTGAACTCCACTGGTATCAACTGTCAGAGTGGCTCAGTTGGTAGCACTCTCGCCTCTGAGAGTGCTACCAACAGGCAAGAAGGCCCGCCTAGCCACTGCATTGCCTTGCTGGAGGTGCAAGCGGGCATTCAGGCATTCTGCCCCCACCCTCTGGAACTCCGTCCCGCAGTCCCTCGGTCTCGCCCCCTTCCCTTGCCTTCTTCAAGACCCTCCTCTTCGACCGTGCCTTCAATCACCCTCCTTCCCCACCTGCCCTCCACCCTCCCCGATCCCAACCCCCAGCTCGGGTCCAAAACACTCATTGTCCAGCGCCCTAAGACATCCTGCCGATGTGAAAGGCGCTATACAAATATAATTTTGTTGTTGTTGAGTCAGAAGGTTGAGGGTTTAAGCCTCGCATCAAAACTTTGAGCTTATATATTCTAGACTGACTTTCCAATTCACTGCTGGAGATATACTGCATTGCCCTGCTGGAGGTGCTATCTTTCAGATAAGACATGAAAAATTCTATCACTTGACTAAGACATGAAACTGAGGACCTGTCTGCTGCTTCGGGTGGATGTTAAAAATCCTCTGATACTATTCAAGAGAATGGAGTTTCTCTCAGTATTTTGGCAACAATCCCACACATAAAATTAGTAATTCCCTTCATGGCAGCTTGTGGGACATTGCTGTGTGCAAATTGGCTGCCGTGTTTCCCTGAAATATACACAGTTGCTACACTTCACTGCATATCCTGTGAAAAGCATTGAGACATTCTCCCATCCGACTTGAAAGACGCTACATTAAATGTAAGGATCATTATTAATAAACTGGAATATGGCTATATTCTGTGCCACACTTATTACATAACTGCTGAGAACCTGCACCACCTGAGCAACAACAACAACTTGGATTTATATAGTGCCCTCCACGCCGGACGGCGTCTCAGAACGCTTTACAGTAACGGGTCCCGGGACCGAGCCACGGGGAGGGGGAGGAAGGTGACCAAAGGCACGGTCGAAAAGAAAGGTCTTTAACAGAGACCTGAAAATGGGAAGGGAGGGAGCGAGATGAAGGAAGTGAGGAAGGCAGTTCCAGAGCCTCGGAGCACAGTGGCTGAAGGCACGGCCGCCGAGGGTGGAGCGGAGGACTCGGGGGACGAGGAGGAGGCCAGACCCGGAGGAACGAAGATTAAATGAACTATAGCAGTTTTCTTCTGCTAGTCAATCATATTTTGAATGTTTCTTTGCAACCCAACTTATAATTGCACACCATTCAATAGTAAAGTGATAGAAATGTTACTTAATGAAAAACATGTATTTCGTACCTGCACAGCATGCAACTTTCATTGTGGTAAAGGGAGCCTGGTCCACGGGTGTACTATTCGGTCATTGAAATAGGGTTTCCGTAGATTTGTTCTATGATTTTACCCCCTTCAAGAATGGGGAACAAAATCGGTAGCGACTGACATGGCAGATTGGGAATGAGAGCTCAGAACTCTGTGTGAGGCACAAACGGGGTAAGTAACAGGATGACAGCCAACAAGAGGATGGACAAACTTTCAGAAATGGGTTGTGGTGCAGCAGATCAGCTGGTACCTGGAAAGGTGGGCC